TTATCATGTTATTTCCAACAAGGCTCAGCTTGGGACTCAGGTTATCCCAGTGCACCCAAGTCCCCCACCTTAACTGATCCCGAGATAGGCCCAGGCCAGCACAGTGAGATTAAACACAGTACCAGAGACGCTTTAGGGATGGGCTACTTTCATTTACGTAGGTAGCCGAACCAGGACAGTCTGTTGATCCCATTTCCAACTCTAATCTTGAGTATGCAGACATTAAGATGACCTTTAGGTCCCATTTTAGATTTATGAGAACGGGAGGTAGAAACTAGCCATCAGTGGTGCTCAGAATGGCCTTCCTTGAGGCCAGGGACAGCAGGAGAGAAAGTTCTAGTCCCTGGTCCCTGGTTATCTCTTCTGCTGGCCTGCTGTTTGGTTTGACTTTGTGTTAGGGACAGAACACAGAGCTTTGTGCGTTGTCAGGCAAGTGTCTACTACTGAACTACGTCCCCTCCAATGCCTGTAGATTTTATTTATTATTATTTTTTTTTTTTTTGAGACAGAGTTTCTCTCTGTAGCCTTGGCTGTCCTGGAACTTGCCCTGTAGACCTCAAACTTACAGAGATCTGCCTGCTTCTGCCTCCTGAGTGCTGGGATTAAAGCTGTGCACCACCCACAACCAGCTGAATTGTATTTATTCTTAATATTTAATTTTTTTTAATTATCTTTTATTTGCACGGGTGTTTTGCCTGCATGTAGGTCTGTGTACCTTGTGTGTTAGTGTTTGAGGAGGCCAGAAGAGAGTGTTGGATCTTCTGGGACTAGAGTTATAGGTGATTATGAGCTACCATGTTCAGGTGCTAGGAACTGAACCCAGATCCTCTGGAAAAGCAGCCACTGGGCCATCTCTCAGGCTCCCACTTATGAGTTTTGAAGACTCACTATTTTCTAATGCCTTGGACTCCTAACATCTTAAGTTCCCTTCTTGTAAACCTGGGAAAAACGGCCTCATGGAGTGTGCCCATGGCTCTGGTATAAAATGGCACCTCTGAGGAACTTCTGGAATGTGTGCTGAAAGAGAGTCACCTATTGAGTGTTTAGTGAGCCAGCTCTTGCCCTAGACCTTGATTTCCCTAGCTTCGCCTCTCATCATTCTCTTTGCTTCAAAATGTATCTCAATATACTAACCAGCTTTTTGTTTTTTGGAGAGGGGCCAGTTTTTATGTGCTCTAGACCTGTCTAGCAACTTCAGATTTGGGATCTCAAATCCCTTTGGCCAGGTACTCCCAGCAAGTGAACTTCCTCCATCACTCTTCCTTTTCAAAATCACGTTTGGGAGTAGGCAAGATCACAGAACACAGCCAGGACATAGTAGGAAGCAGGGACTCTGGCTTCAGGTGGCTTCATTCCACCACCACTACCACCACCCGCCCCTTTGAGGTTTTTCGAGACAGGGTTTCTCAGTGTAGCTCTGTCTGGTCTGGAACTCAACTCTGCAGACCAGACTGGCCTACCGAGATCCACCTGCCTCTGCCTCCTGAGGGCCGGGATTAAATGTGTGCGCCGCCACATCCAGCCGGCTTCATCCTTTAGTTACCCAGAAACCCACCGAGGAACAGAGACTGGTGTCCACGCTGAGGACTATTCTGTGGGGCAAAACTGTTGCTCACTCTGAGTCTGAGCTAGCCCGTGGGAAGTGCGTAGGTGACGATGGTATGCCGCCCCTCGGAAGCGCTGAGAGAACTGTGCAGGATGTGCTCTGAGCAGCGAGCATGAAGTGAGCGCTTGGTTGATGGTCTATAATCTGCTCGCTTGTGATAGACAACATTCAGGTCTACAAACTATCCAGGCGCCTGGGGCATGGAACAAGGCCACCCATGGCTAAACACAGAGCGGCTCGGCTCCCTGGCAGGTGATAAAACCATGATCTTTACTTACAAACAAAACAACAAAATGGGTCAGTGAGACAGCTTAACAGGTAGGGGCACTTGCTGACAAGTTTGACAACCTGAGTTCAGTCTTCATGATCCACGTAACAAGTTCTAGGTCATCCAGGGCTACGGTTAGAGACCCTGTCTGGAGGAAATAAAGTTAAATTTGTTTCATAATTCCACCTATGTACAGAACGAATTCTTTTGTTTTGTGTGTGTTTTTCAAGACAGGGTTTCACTGGGTAGCCCTGGCTGTCCTGGAACTCACTGTGTAGACCAGGCTTGTCTCAAACTCCTCTGAGATCCCCCTGCCTCTGCTTCCCAAGCGCTGGGATTAAAGGCGTGCGCCACCACTACCTGGCTAATGAATTATTGCTTTCATCCCTATCTTCTCTTCCCCCTCTCATTCTAATCCAGTTCTCACATCTTTTGTTTTGTTGTGTGAACCTCTGAGTTTAACCAAGGCCATCTGTGTGACCATGGGTTTGGAAGTGTCCCTTGGAGACACTGGCCGGCTCCCTAGTGGGTACACAACAGAAGATACTGACTCCTCATCTCCCAGAGTCTGTCTGTAGCCAGGAGCCCCATGAGTCTCTCTGGTGTCCATGACTGACCGTTGGCAGGACCATTCTTACGAAGGCCTGCTGTAGGGAGATGCTCAAAGTTTGATCGAAATGGCCGTGCCACGCCCAGATGGCAGCAGTTTCACAGCTGTTCTCACATTCTTTTCACCCGCTAAGCTTCAGAGCAGAACGCATAAATGTCTTATTTAAGCCTGACCATTCACCTGTCACTTATTCTAGGTACTTGAAATTGCTTAACTTTTGAACCAAGGTGTGAGTCATAAAGACATGACTAGCTTGATGGCACAGCGACACTCAGTGGACAAATGAAGGACTACACGCTAGTCCTACAGGGGTACTGAGGTGATCCCAGCCTTGAGCTACGCTGGAGCAGAGAGTGTTCCAAGGGCCTGTGTTCTCTGTTACCTGGTTAGGTTCACTCTAACATTCCTTGTTGAGTTCATTAAGAAGCGGAAAAGGATACATTGCATCCTACAACTGAGGAGAGTTCATTTCCTACTTCATAGTCATGTCCTCCCTTCCCATAGCCTAAGAGAAGAAACTTCAACCTCTTGTACTCCCTAAAGGGCAAAAGGACAGGGGATGTAGTTGGTTTGGCTTGGAATAACATGTACGAGGTCCTAGGTTATATTCTGGTACCAGAGGGGGAAAAATGGACAAAAGAAGGCTAGCTAAACTAAACGTGATGCCACATGCCAATAATAAGGCAGGGTGGTGGCAGGTTCAAGACCAGCCTGAGCTATGGGAAACCCTATTTCAAAACAACAAGGATCAGGGGCCCCTAGCCAGAGGGTGCCAGCAAGTTTTCACATGCTCAGTGTAGCTTCTCAGGTGTGATTTATAGAGAAACCTTAGCAATCTTTACCCATCCCAGGTATTTCTCCTCCACAGATTCTGACTTTGAAGAACTAGAAAAAAAAAAAAAATAATACAAAGGGCTGTTACAGTTTGGATACAGTGTCCCCACAGGCTCATTTGTTTGAACACTCCATCAGTTCCCCAGCTGTTGCTGGGGTTCAGGGAAAATGCAGAAACCCTGGGTGGTGGGACCTTCCGGGGAGGTGTGGATCTCCGTGGGGTGGGTCTTGAGGTTTAGAGTTTAGCCCGAGGTGCTCTCGGCTTCCTGGTCCACAGGGATGAGTAAGCATCCTCATGCTGCACCTGCCACAGCCTCAAGCCTGTCCACATTGTGAGCCAAAACAAAGCCTCCCTTAAGCTGGCCACAGCGGGGAAAAAAACCTCACACACTCCAACTGAAAACTGTCTTTGGACCATTCGGGATAGCTGATGGTCTTTCAAACAGAGTCCACAGGAGAAACGAGTACTTAGGTATGATTTTCCCAACCCTCAAGTGTCTATTTTGTTTTATCCTATTTTAGACAGGATCTGTAGCTCAGGCTGGCCTTACCTGTCTCTCCTGTTCCAGACACCATGGACCACTACTGCAGGCATCACAGAGAAGGCTACAGAGAACATCCTGCTGTCCGTGCTTCAACAGGGGACCAGGGCACACACCAGCATTAAGTTGAGAGGTTAACTGGGGCAGGAGGTAGCAGGGGGTGTAGCTCGGTGTGGCTCAGATCCTGCCTGGCACAAGTGAGGCCCTGGGTTCCATGCCATGGGATGGCTCAGCAGCTGAAGAAGCTGCCAGGCCTGGCCATCCTAGCTCCCTGTACACATGGTGGAAGGAGGGAGCTGGCTCCCACAAGTGACTCTTTGACCTCCACTCACACATCATGAGCTAAGCACACACTCATGCCTGCCTGTGGGAAAGTACTTGCCTGGCATTCAGTGTGATGGCTAAAGAAACTCCAGTCTGTACTAGGCATCCATCTTGGTACCCACTAGCTGTTTGTCTCTGACTCCAGTTCCTGGAAGATAAGTTCTCAGTAACCTGACTCAGTGACCCGCCACCCAGAAATTTACAGCCTTGACTATCTACTTGTTATGGTATGACTAAACGCTTTTCCGGCTTCTGTAATTTGCTTACACGTACACACAAAGATTGTTCTGGGTCACTTAGCTTGGCAGAACAGAGCAGTTTTTGCTTGCTTGCTTGACAAGATATTGAAGATCTATTTGTGGTTTTTCCCCTTTGAAAAATCCTTCCCTCAAAGGGAGGAGGGACTGGGGGTGGGGAGTGGCGGGAGGGGAAACTATGGTTGGAATGTATTGTATGAGAGAAGAATTGAAAAAAAATAATAATCCTTTCCTCTCCTCCCTTCTCACGGCAGTTTCAAATTGGGCCCAAAGACTGTTCGAAAAGGCCGTTTCTCTCCCACTGGCTGCAGACGACCAGCAAAGCCCAGTCCTC